GTGTTGGGTCATCCTTCAGGATAGGTTGTAGATCCTTAATAATGCGTTGGAGGGGTTTTAGTTGGGGGCTGAAGGTGACGGCTAGTGGCGTTCTGTTATTTTCTTTGTTAGGCCTATCCTGTAGTAGGTGACTTCTGGGAACTCTTCTGGCTCTCACCTGATCAACATCCTCTACAGCAAACAGGGAAAGATTAAGAATGAGCTCTCAAAAATGGATACTCTCATAAAAAACCAACCTTCCACACAAACTACAAGCCGTCAAGAACACTATCCCCGATAATGTCACGGCTAACCTGGTGGCTGAACTTTGTGACTTTGTCCTTACCCATAACTATTTTACATTTGGGGTCAATGTATACCTTCAGATCAGCGGCACTGCTATGGGTACCCGCATGGCCCCACAGTATGCCAACATTTTTATGGCTGACTTAGAACAACGCTTCCTCAGCTCTCGTCCCCTAACGCCCCTACTCTACTTGCGCTATATTGATGACATCTTCATCATCTGGACCCATGGAAAAGAAGCCCTTGAGGAATTCCACCATGATTTCAACAATTTCCATCCCACCATCAACCTCAGCCTGGTCCAGTCCACACAAGAGATCCACTTTCTGGACACTACAGTGCTAATAAAGAATGGTCACATAAACACCACCCTATACCAGAAACCTACTGACCGCTATTCCTACCTACATGCCTCCAGCTTTCACCCAGACCACACCACACGATCCACCACACCACACGTCTACAGCCAAGCTCTGCGATACAACCGCATTTGCTCCAACCCCTCAGACAGAGACAAACACCTACAAGATCTCTATCAAGCATTCTTACAACTACAATACCCACCTGCGGAAGTGAAGAAACAGATTGACAGAGCCAGAAGAGTTCCCAGAAGTCACCTACTACAGGACAGGCCTAACAAAGTAAATAACAGAACGCCACTAGCCGTCACCTTCAGCCCCCAACTAAAACCCCTCCAACGCATTATTAAGGATCTACAACCTATCCTGAAGGATGACCCAACATTCTCACAAATCTTGGGAGACAGGCCAGTCCTTGCCTACAGACAGTCCCCCAACCTGAAGCAAATACTCACCAACAAACCACATACCACACAACAGAACCACTAACTCAGGAACCTATCCTTGCAACAAAGCCCGTTGCCAACTGTGCCCACATATCTATTCAGGGGACACCATCAAAGGGCCTAATAACATCAGCCACACTATCAGAGGCTCGTTCACCTGCACATCCACCAATGTGATATATGCCATCATGTGCCAGCAATGCCCCTCTGCCATGTACATTGGTCAAACTGGACAGTCTCTACGTAAAAGAATAAATGGACACAAATCAGATGTCAAGAATTATAACATTCATAAATCAGTCGGAGAACACTTCAATCTCTCTGGTCACGCAATCACAGACATGAAGGTCGCTATCTTACAAAAAAAAAACTTCAAATCCAGACTCCAGCGAGAAACTGCTGAATTGGAATTCATTTGCAAATTGGATACTATTAATTTAGGCTTAAATAGAGACTGGGAGTGGCTAAGTCATTATGCAAGGTAGCCTATTTCCCCTTGTTTTTTTCTCCCCCCCCTGCCCCCGACGTTCTGGTTATACTTGGATTTATGCTGGAAATGGCCCACCTTGATTATCATGCACATTGTAAGGAGAGAGGTCAGTTTGGATGAGCTATTACCAGCAGGAGAGTGAGTTTGTGTGTGTATGGGGGTGGGTGGGGGTGAGAAAACCTGGATTTGTGCTGGAAATGGCCCACCTTGATTATCATGCACATTGTAGGGAGAGTGGTCGCTTTGGATAAGCTATTAGCAGCAGGAGAGTGAGTTTGTGTGTGTGGTTTTTGGAGGGGGGTGGGGGGGTGAGAAAACCTGGATTTGTGCTGGAAATGGCCCACCTTGATTATCATACACATTTTAAAGAGAGTGGTCACTTTGGATGGGCTATTACCAGCAGGAGAGTGAGTTTGTGTGTGTGTGTGGGGGGGGGGGGGCGGAGGGTGAGAAAACCTGTATTTGTGCTGGAAATGGCCCAACTTGATGATCACTTTAGATAAGCTATTACCAGCAGGAGAGTGGGGTGGGAGGAGGTATTGTTTTATGGTCTCTGTATATATAATGTCTTCTGCGGTTTCCACAGTATGCATCCGATGAAGTGAGCTGTAGCTCACGAAAGCTCATGCTCAAATAAATTGGTTAGTCTCTAAGGTGCCACAAGTACTCCTTTTCTTATTGAAATTATTAATTTCCTTGTTGGTCTTTCTCTGGTGCTAATCACCATAGTGTCTCAGGGTTACACAAACATTAATGAACTTATCTTCACAACATGCCTGGGAGACGAGGTGGTATTATTATCCCTGGGACAGAGTATTATTTTTATTCTGGGACATAGAGAAATTAAGGTTAACATTGATATTAGTGTGCACTAATTTTAAGTGCCTGATTTGAGATGCCTAGGGTCTGATTGTTTTTTAAGTGTAGTTAACATTTTTATTCCACTTAATATATTTGAAATACAGCTGTCTGACTTGGGTTATACTTGTGAATACCTAGCACTTCTGCATATCAGGTCCCAGTTGTTTCAGCACAGGCACCCAGAAATTGAGGAACACACAGTGGCAGTCTGCTTTCCCAGTATCACGTCGCAACTCTGGGAGAGGCAGGGATTGAATCTAAGTCCGTGAGGCTGCATTCAACTCCCTTAATCATAAAACAGAGGAACATAGAACTAGAAGGGACTTCCTGGGTTATCTAGTCCAGTCCCTACCTATCACAGGCAACCCCATCATATAATCCCAATCATAAATTTATCAAGCTCGATCTCAAAGCTAGTTAGGTTGTGACCCTAATTTTTTAAAGTCATAACTTGAGATTGGAAAGCTAGACATGCTTCTTACAGCTAGGAAGCAGGCCCATTCTCTCTGAGTCAATTGCCTCTTTCTAGACTGCTCATTATTACACTCGTGTATACTTGCACATAGACATAACTATAAACCCACCCTGACCCATCTGCAAAGTGGTATTTACCACCCACTGCGTCTCTAAATGCATAGTGGACTAGTGGGAGGGAGGTCATAAGAAACAGGAGGTAATAAAGAACCTAATGAACACCAGGCATAGCTGATGTTGGTTAATAAAAAAGCAATATAAGTAGTGTAGTTAAAAGCTAAAGGGGAAAAAAGCCCTAGCTGTCCTATTGAAAATGCACTAATCAGCAGGACTCCCCATGTTCTAATTTAACAACAGAAGAATCAGTCCTGGGTGACAAACTAGAGCCTCAGAGAGGTGAAATGCCTCCTGTAGCGGCTGCCTCCTGATGTTGGCTTGAAAAGTCTCTCCTTTCACACATCAAGCAGCAACTCCTGTGGTGTATGCTATTGGGCAAACAAACATCAACCATTCACTTTCTGGAATCTGTGTCTTGCAAGTTTAATTTAGCAAGAGACCAACTTGGTTCTGGGCAATAAATGAGCAGTAAAAGTTCTTTTGGAACCACAGAGCATTCATAGGAATTTATATGGGTGTGTCAGGAAAATTATTTTAAAAGTGGTATCTTTCTTTTTATACTGTGTGTGTGTGTGTGTGTGTGTGTAAAAGTAAATAGAAGACTGGGAGCACATTGGGTAGTTTGTAATTGGTTTCTTTAAGGCAGTGATTCTCAACCTATTTATCATTGTGGGCCGCATCCAGTAATATTGTATGGTTCTGAGGATGTCACATGGGCTGCAGCTGTGTGCTGATTGGGCTGCAAGTGGCCCCCAGCTGTGGATTGAAAAACATTGCTTTAAGGAAATAAGCATAAACTCCCATTTCCCATGCAAACACAATCACAAATCACAGCTATGGTCTTATGCACTGAGCACGGCCATTTGCCTGTGGTAACGGTATGTGTCACCTTTGTTGTACGCCATGTCAAAATCAGTACAAAAGATTCTCCTTGCATTACAAGTCAGTAGCACACTAAGGCCTTGTCTTTGCAGCTATAACATTGGATTTTTTTTTTACTTCAGGGTAACTTATGCATGTGAGCTAATCTGAGGTAAAGGCACAGTGAAAACTAGGCACTTCGTTTTACTGCAAGGTAAATCTGGCAAAGTCAACGCCATGGGAGGGTATAATGGTGACATTGGCAACTTTACATCACAGTACAACTAAAGTGCTTTGTCTTCTCTGTGCATTTACCTCAGGTTAGCACATGTGCATTAGTTACCCTGAGGTATAAAACACACACTTTTTTTTAAGCCTGAAGGCAAGGCCAAGGCTAACACGTTCACCAGCATTTAATAATGCAGCATGAAAATGAATACCTAGCTGCTGAATGAAACTCTTTCCCAGCTCTCAGGAGGATCCACTTGATGGGCCAAATTCAGAAGTGATGTGTGGGGTGTAAGTTGGATCCCTGTGCCCTCCCTTACACTTATGCAGACTCCTGCGGACCGACTGTTCCATTGGCCTAGGATCACCAGAGCACTTTGCTTTCTGGACTCATCCCCAGCATCTTCTTCCCTGCCTTCTTCCACACCCTATGCCTGAGGAGAGAGTGGGTGACTTAAAGCCAGCTATACTTGGGGAATGGCTCAGCTGCCTGCTTAAGGTAATTTAAAGTCCTCTTTGTGCAACCGGAGAGGCACAAAGAGGGCTGATTGCAGGCCAGGATTGAGCCCATTATGTTACTAAAACCATTGCAAAACCAAGCAAAGGAGCAGCAGATGACCCCAATTTATGATTATCTTATAGTCTGTTGTTGAATAACTTAGCATAGTTTCAAGCAGTGTTTTCATGGTTACTTTGGAAATCATTTGTCTTTTTTTAGCAATGCTATTTCAACTAATTGAGTCAATGGTTGTGAAAGCTATGGAGACTCAGTAGAGGAGGAAAGGTGGTCTAGTTGGGGCATTTAAGGCTATACAGCATTGATTTGTGGCACGTTTCTTGTCTAAGGTAAGTTGAGTAGAATAGGAACATAATACATACCAATTTATTATCATTGTCTTTTTTCTTCAGTGCAGGGTTGACATTTATTCAATGCAGGGTTGTGTCCTCCAAATGTGTCAGTCTTCTAAAAATGTATATATCACTGAAGTGTCTATCAGCTTTCTTGTGTGCACATTATATGTTTCTCTCAAATCTTGCAAGTCTGAGATTCACCAGGGTACATTGGCTCGCTCAGTTGTTCTGAAAGATTTTCCATTGTCTTAGGGGTAGAGGCTTATGGAACTATGCTCCTCTCAGTGCAACTGCAACATAAGTGGAATTTATTTGTATGATTGAATGTGTCAATAGTTCATTTGGTGATTTGTCCCACAACATGAGAAGAAAATATTATCTAGTAGATTATGTTTTGAGATATCTGGATTGTATTCAGGAATATTGTTGGCATGATGTTCAGTGTATTCTCATGTTCAAATACATTTATCTAAAAAATCACATCATAAAATTTTTCCCTTATTTAAAAAATATAGTGTTTTATGATAATGGTCCAGCTCATTACAATAATGGCTCAAGATTACTGTAGCATACTGTAACATGTTTGTTTAACGTAAATCAGAAATAAAGCACTATTTACTACCCATTCATTTGATTTAGCCAAATAAATAGTTCCCCACTACTCCATAGTAATGAGGTATACACATACAGTCAAAGCTTCATTTTGACATACTTTCACACTTCATGGTCAATCCACCTTTATTTCAAGGGGAACAACTCTTTCCATTTTTTCTCCTCTACCATATCATGATTACTCTCACATCTATTGGTTTAATTAATTAGTTGAAATCTCACTGCTAAAAATAATGCCAAATAGTTTCCAGTATTCAAGGGTAACCACAAAAACACTACTTGAAATATGCTAAGTTATTCATATTTCATTCATTAGATAGAAAGATACATGCTTAAACAAACATTTCATTAGTATACCAGTTAGAGTCCTAAGCTTACCTATAAATTACTGTATGTCAGCTCAGAACAAAAGAAGGGCAAATTGCTTGTGGCCTCTTTGTAACAAAGGCTTGCCATAAAGTTCAGCAGGTCTTTGGCAGTAGAGAAACAATGCTTTGTATGTAAACATTTTGGGAATGAGTTTCCTTGAACTCTTACAATAATGAAAAACACTTGTTTGTTTAAACCTCTAAGTCTGCTGGAGCCCAGTTGTATGAGAGCCTCACTTTAGAATTCCATGGCTCAGAATAAAAATGACCTCATCTTATAGATGGAAAGGTGAGTCCATGAAAATGGGTTGACCTCACAGCACAAGGCAAATTGAATCTACTAAGTGTTAGGTTATTCACGCTACAATAAAACATTACATGTTAAACACAGCTGAATGACTTTATAGTACTTGAAGTTTTCCAACATATGAAAGCAACTTTTCACATGTTTATGTTGCACCAAATGTACTGCAAAATACAACACCTCTGTGAGACTAAATGTGGAACTATCAGCCAAAGCAATCTTGAAACTATTCCAGTGGGCTGCAGATCAGATGAACTGATAGTTGCTTTTATCATGTATAATATGGACTCCAGTCTGCTCTCATTTACACCAGTACAAACCTGGAATCACTCCACTGAAGTCAAAATAGTTTGATGTTCAAAACAATTTAGCTCCCTTAGTGAGAAGTAATAGTTAATCCAAATGTACATTGGTTTCAGTATAACTGAGAGCAGAATTTACCTCTTCTTCAGGTCTGGGTTCAAGAATAGCTTTTGTGGCTTGAAGGCGTGTCTCTCTCACCCACAGAAGTTGGTCCAATACAAGATATTACCTCACCCACCTTGTCTCTCTAATATTCTGGGACTGACAGGGCTACAACTACACTGCATACCAGGGTATGGGCATTTATCACTAGAGAGAAGATGAAGCAAGGAATGGTGCATTGTGGAAGGATTTTGACAAGTCTTCTAGTGACATGAGAACTTGCTTTACTACTAACAGGGGGCACTGACAGCCCTGTTCCTTCTTTTGTAGTAGCAGTTTCAGTTCACAAAACCATGACCCTTGCACCACCTATGATGATATTGTTTTTGGCCTAAGCACCTCTAAACTGTTTGAAAGCACATTTCTGGATCCAACAAAAAACTGTCTACCATGAAGGCCATACAAAAGCTAACTCTGAAAGAACTGATAGCAAGAAGAAGGAAATATGACCCTAACTGTCCTTTCACAAACTGAATTACTCTCAGTTGCTTTTATGTGTCCCTTTCCTCCCAGGAAACATATTACAACATATTACAGACTGCTGCAACATATTACAGACTGCTGCATTATGATAACAGGTATCATCCAGTAGGCATTTCTCAAGAAAAAACTGTCCCATTCCTGTGCACATTCTGTGTGGTGAAATGCAGTTCCAAGTATATGTACACCCAGAGGTAAGTGGGCAAAATGAAGACTACATGACAATCACTGCACTAGGTGGTGGTCAGCTGCACAGACCCTTCTGCACTGTCGTTTTCCTCAGCTTCACCTGTTCCAGGCTTTTGGAAACTCACGGCACAGCTGTAAGATATACTGAAACCCTCTAAGGACATCACAGTGAAGTGAGTCCAGACGCCACCAACCTTAGCCAGATCCTCTTACTAATACACCTCAGAAAACAAAGACTGACAAAGCCGAGTGAAACATGTTTACATCAAAACATTCATGTTAGTATAATGGACCATCTTTTGACATCTCTTGTATTGGATTTCAAGCATACTGCAGTGTAAACAATGCTGTGTTGCCACAGTGCTAAATCTATGCTGCAAGAGCTTTCTTTAGGTCATGAATCCAAAACAGCACAGCCAAAATGATGACTGAGATTTTGAGGAAGAAAAATTTAAATTACCCCCAGTTTATCCCCTCGTTAATAACAAGAGTAAGAGTTGCAGTACAGTCAGCACTACATTCTGAGCCAGATTTCCTTTGTGTAAATAATTTGGATAAACCCAGAATAGTACTTTTTTCCTTGAACTCTTGTCTTTTGCTACTGTTCTCTCCCCCTTCGATCTTTCCCCTCCTGCAGGACAGTTTCTCGAAAACAAGCTGTCTGTCCCTCTTCCTTCTTGGACCCTCTCTCCCTCTTTTTGCAGTTTCACTCTCTTCACTGCGCCCTCCGCCCTGCAATTTTCTGCTGCTGTCACACTTTGATTGTCCCTCTCTTACTGTCTAAGAACAACCACAGTCTAGACTCATTGGTCCAGTCACTTTGCACTGCTCCACTTGTGCAAAGGAGCACTAACCCTGGCAGATTGAATCCCTCAGGACTTTCCCTGTTCCGGGGCATCCTTGGATGGCACAAAAATCATGTTAAACCCCTGGTAGTTGCCATTATAGGGGGCACGGCTGGGAGAGATACAACATGGTCAGGACTGCCTTTGTGAGGTAATGAGTAATCTCTGAACTAGAGCCTGATTAAGCCACATCCAGTGATAAGTCATTCCTGTGCTAGGCTCCAGCCAGTCCACAAGCCAGGAGCTGGTCTGGTGACTCTCAGGACAGGTATATAAGCCTCACAGGAGAAACAGTAAACCAGTCTGACCAACGTGACTTCATGGCTTGGAACTCTCCCCTGCCTGATAGTAGTGTCAGACTCCACAGGCTTTAACCTGCTCCAGTCCTGATCTGACTCCAGCCTTGTTCCCAGTCCCTCTCCAGCACTGCCCTTACTTTGTTCCAGTCCCTCTCTTGACTCCTGGCCTGGCTGCCACTGCACTGATTACTAGGCCCAACCCTCCACACCCCAGCTTCAGATACCCTGGCACCCCAGCACTCCTGGCTGCTGTAATGGCTGCTTGGGGCTGTTAACAGCTGATGCAAGCAGGCATCAGGGAGTTGGCCTGATGCAGATTGGCCCCAGGAACAAGGGAATGCAAAGGGCACATTTGGACTTCCCTCCCTCAACTTCACTGAGCCTTGTTTGCCTGCAGCTGAGGATCAAGCCCTCTGTGTCCCTGCCCCAGTTCATTGTGCATCTACAAAAATGCAGTGCTTCCTGCTAAATATTCTGTATCAGTAAAATTATTGGTATGGAAGATATGACATTTCTGCGCTAACTGGTTGTCAGTGAAGACTTTTACGCATTTGCGTTTTGAGTTGAGATGGTTGCATTTCATCATATAATTTAAGCCATGTGATGGTTTTTCTGGATCTAAAAACCAAAAAACCTCTTTGAAGTTGCTGTTGGTTGCACTGGGACTGAAACTGCTCTCAGTTGCCCCCAGAATTGGCTGTTGAAAAGGTGGCATAATACCATATCTGCCTTCTTTCCTCAGGTCCTAAGCTGAACAAAGCTCAGCTATACCCTGAGGATCTGCACGCCAAGGTTTCCGCTCATTTTAGCAGCAGGAGAGAGAAGAAAAAAAAATCAAAGATGACTTCCACTTCTCCTTAAAAATTTGTGAGTACAGATTTTCAGGCAATTGTGCCTTTTTGTGTTTTTGCATAGTTAAATTACAAAATAAATAGGCATTGCCAGGAAGCTTTGCAAAATGCATAAAATTTCAGTGAGAAGAGCTTTCTCAGAACAGGAATGAGACATTTTAAATATGAAATTTCAGGACAAAATTTCCTTTCCTTCACGTACCTATAAATATAATTTACATGTCCTGAAAAAAGAAGGAAGAGTGTCCCATACCAGTTCATGATCTTCAATCAGCTTTCAGAGGAATTCAATAAAAATATTTCAAAGAATGCAAACAGTGAGAATCTACAAGGGCCAAATTATGCTCTCTGCTACACTGGTTTAAATCCATTGATTTCAAAGGAGTTACTCCAAATTGATGCCGATGGAATCCAGTCCAAATTTTGGCCTGGAATTTTGCTCTTTAGCTCAGAAAGAAGCGGTTGAGTAAATGCTCATTTGCATGTGTGTATACATGAGCTGGAAGGAAGTGTCTCAACAGTGCTGAAGAAATGTCTTTTTTTTCCTCTGTTGTATATACTGAATGCGTCCCTAAGTTCTGTAAGCAACACACACCAACCAGAGTGTTGCATACATCCCAGAACAAAAAGTAAAAGACCATTCTTTCAATACATTGCATTTTGAAGTTGCATTTTTGAGTGTTGAAGCACTCAATTTTCTGCATTATAATTTGAAATTTCTCTTGGAGCATCTCATAATCCACACCAGCAACAGTGGAACTAATTGAGGCTGGCTAGTGGCTTTCCTGTGAGAACCATGGCTTGGAAGAGGCTTGTTTGGCAATGATCTTTCTAATTCCTCCTGACAGTGGACCACTTGTGTTTAGATTAGTGCTTC